AATAATTATAAAGAATAATAATAATATATATATAATGATTTATAATAATAAATTTAATTCAATAATATAATCAAACCAAAAACACTGAAATTTGAAATATAGTGCCAAGTTTGCACATCGCTGAGCAAAGTCGCAAAATCGTTTTCAGTGTCTGATGACGAATTTCCCCACAAATCATTATCACTCAGTTCTGCAAGTGGTTCTGATTTATTATCGCTGTTCTCTAGCCGGTCTAAAACCGCTTTTGACCTAAAGGGACGCTTTTTGGACGCCATGGACTTTTCTCAGTTTCCAGGCAGAAAGAACAGTAAAAATGCAGACAGGGCGCAGGAAAAAGCACTCGGGACAAAATGTATGTGAAATGGTTTGATACAGCAATGTTATACTAAGAGATTATAGTGTATTGTGTGTATGTCATGTTTTTACTTTTTTGATTCTCCTGCTGGTTCCGCCCCCGTACGTCCCGACGCTCACAGGGAATGGAACCCGGAAGACAGATGTTGGCATCGGCCAGCGAACATGGCTGGAGGACACAGCGGGAGGATCGTGCGACAAGGTAAGGCTCGAGGGATCACTGCAGTGTAATCCTGAGTGTAGCTGGGGGTCACCACTTTTGGTACTGAAATTAACCCTGAGCTACAGTCAGGAATACCGCCAGTGGGGTTAAGGAGCATTTAGAAGCGTTTATCGTGTTTTTTGCTGGAAAAACGCTCCAGAAAACTCTACAAAAACACTTTTTTTCTGCTCCTAGAAGCTGAAGCTCAAAAAAACGTCAATAGCCTAAAGTAGTGTGCATGGACACATAGGAGAACACTGATTAGCTTCTAGGAGCAGAAAAAAAATGCTATAACCAGCTTCTTGGAGCTTAAACAAATGCTAGTGTGCATGGAGCCTAAAACCGATACATAGTTAAAATTCATACTAAAGCTGTACGGGTTTAGAAATGAAAGTCTGACTTTGCTGTGTTTCAGCTAAGGTTCTGTCACTTCCTCCCACAATCCTGTCCCTCTGATCACCATGATTCATATTAACCGCACATGATGTCTGCACGCAGCTCTGATCTTATACCGTGTGAAAACTTCTACTAGTGATATTCTATCAATGTATTCTTCATTTGTATTTCTAAAATCATGGATTGCAAAGGATTTATATTGTAAAGCGCTGAGAAAACTGTTGGCGCTATATAAATCCTGTATAATAATAATAATAAATGCATAAATTAAAGTTATAATTGCTGTGTTTACTGTATAGTAAAAGCAAATCCTGCCTGAAAAAATGTGTATTAGTCCTCACGCACACGGGACATTTTTACAGCGGCTGTTTTTGTCTTTTTGCGTTTTTTTTCTACAGCCAGTAAACCCCGCAGCATACTATCCTGTGTGTCCATACACACATAGACTGGAATCAGCGTTTTTGGCTGGGAAGTTTTTTTGGCTGGAAAAATAACCCAGAACTAGTGTGTTTCTAGAAGAGTTTTGTAGTTGTAAAAACGCTCTAACGCTGAAAAATGCTGAAAAAGTGGCAAAATGCGGTAAAATTCTGCAAATTGGCATTTTTGAACTTTTTTTGACCCAATATTTTTTTGGGGATTAAAAAAATGCTAAAAAACGCAAACGTGGAAAAACACAGGAAACCGCCACTAAACGTGGCAAAACACTAATGCAAATACGCTAAAAAAAAGCTGAAATGTTCATGTTTTTAAAGTGACTTTACACAGCTAACATTACCAGCGTTATCAAACCGCCCCGTGGGCATGAGGGCTTATAAACAATTGTAATTTTTTTCAATAGGTCCCTTGTTATTTTTACCTTTTTTATCCTTTTGTTGCATATTAGCACTGATGATCTCCCTATTTGCCGACATTTCCTCCAGCAGCTGCTACAAGAGATTTCTCAGTGTGAGTTTCCTAATGACTGTAACAGCAGGTTATGACTGTACGATGTGGGTTAGTAGGACAGCTTGCAGTGTTCATTGGGATACGGTGACAATACAGCAGCAGAGTTAGAAGGAGAGTTGTGTAGCACTCTTTAATATGCTACTAGAGTAGTGTAGTAAATATATTGTGTATGACTCATGGAAACAGTGTGAGTGTGTAATTAGGTCGAGTTATTGCAGGTCAGGCTGGATGGCTTAACAAGTTGGCACTATATTGCCTCCACCTGGTTCAGAAGGACCATGGAACCTTCCAGAAGCCAGTGGGCAGAAGGTGTGTAGACCTGATCTGCCTGTTAATGGGAGTTTAACCCATCCATGGTTTGGAGGCCGTTGTTGAGTGGTGAGATCAACCCTCATATATGGGAGAGTCAGGCTGGCAGGGGAGTTGGGTGGAAGATGGAGTGCTGAGGACATTGTTAGTGGCCTGAGATGGGTCCTCTAGGTCTAGGGGGGCTGGCCTCCAGGCTGAGCTCGGGCTGGCTCAGGAGGATCCATTCAGCATCACGACATGAACAGGTTCAAGGCTTGGGAGCAGAGTGAGCAAAAAGGACAAAGTGAGTACATCAGCACACCCAGGGGTTAACAAGGGGAGAGACTGCCATATGCAGCAAGCTTTCATAGCACAGCTCTGTGCTTGATCCTTTATCCTTGTCCCGAGGATCTTCATAGCAGCCAGGAGGGCTGGTAGTGTCTGCAGGAGCTGGGAGAAATCCTACAGGGGAGAGGAGACATCTCTGCATGTAGTTTGCAACCAGTTAAGCTAACTTTCAAGGGGGGCTGTGAGTCCCTAGCCCGTAAGGGGCAGTTGCTACTGATTCGTAATGACTGACCACTTTCAAGGAAAACAACAGTCCAGAATCTGTTTCTGTAAATAGGAAGTCCGTGTGCGTTGATTCAGTTAAGTTGGGCATCCCATAATTCCTATTACCCTATTAAATTACACCCCCTATTAAACTAGGTTTAGGAGGGTGTCTATGGGGATGTTTGACCATTCTTCCAGAAGCACATTTGTGAGGTCAGGTACTGATGTCAGACGAGAAGGCCTGGCTTGCAGTCTCCTCTCTAATTCATCCCAAAGGTGTTCTATCGGGTTTAGGTCAGGACTCTGTGCAGGCCAGTCAAGTTCCTCCACCCCAAACTCACTCATCCATGTCTTTATGGACCTTGCTTTGTGCACTGGTGCGCAGTCATGTTGGAACAGGAAGGGGCCATCCCCAAACTGTTCCCACAAATTTGTTGGCATGAAATTGTCCAAATTGTCTTGGTATGCTGACGCCTTAAGAGTTCCCTTCACTGGAACTAGGGGGCCAAGCCCAACCCCTAAAAAACAACCCCACACCATAATACCCTCTCCACCTTACTTTACACTTGGCACAATGCACTCAGGCAAGTACCGTTCTCCTGGCAACCGCCAAACCCAGACACGTCCATTGGATTGCCAGACAGAGAAGCGTGATTGGTCACTCCAGAGAACACATCTCCACTGCTCTAAAGTCCAGTGGTGGCGTGCTTTACACCACTGTATCCGATGCTTTGTATTGCACTTGGTGATGCAAGGCTTGGATGCAGCTGCTCGGCCATAGAAACCCATTCCATGAAGTTCTCTACACACTGTTGTGCTAATCTGAAGGTCTCACAAAGTTTGGAGGTCTTTAGCTATTGACTCTGCAGACAGTTGGTGACTTCTGCGCACTGTGCGCTTCAGCATGCGCTGACCCCGCTCTGTCATTTTACGTGGCCTACCACTTGGTGGCTGAGTTGCTGTTGCTCCCAGTTGCTTCCACTTTGTTATAATACCACTAACAGTTGAGCGTGGAATATTTAGTAGCAAGGAAATGTCACGGATGGACTTATTGCACAGGTGGCAACCTATCACGGGACCACGCTTGATTTAACTGAGCTCCTGAGAGCGACCCATTCTTTCACAAATGTTTGTAGAAGCAGTCTGCATGAATAAGTGCTTGATTTTATATACCTGTGGCCATGGAGGTGATTGGAACACCTGAATCAAATGATTTGGAGGGCTGGCCCAATACTTTTGGCAATATAGTGTATGTGAAAATGCCAGGTGGGTAACTCTCCATCTTCTAACAGGAACTAAAACATCAGTGTTGTGTGGAATGACACTTTAAATGTGTGACAAAAAAAAAGACAGTGTTCTTCATGTCTGTAAACTGTATGATTACCCATAAATTAGGGCCAGTTGGCATTTTAAAATAGAAATGAATTTATGAGCAAGCACTCAGTGACGCTGTCCTTGTCAGATGCATGAGATATGAACAGTATATCTTTTCATTTATTCTCAGGAGGACGATGGGAAGTGACAAAATGCTTAGAAGAGCAGAGCAAAAGAGGATGGGGTTGGGGTGTGACAATTCTCTAAAGGAAGCTATGCTCCATGCAGAGGACAGGGGCCATGCAGAAGCGCCATCCTTAAAAGGACCTGCAGCTGCTGCTTTCTTCAAGTTGTTCCTCAGTGATAAGTATGAAGATGATATGTCAGACTGCACTTGTATGGCAATGAGAGGAGAGCAGGACATCTCTACAGAAACGGCAGAGCGGGAGTGCAATGATATGATATAGGAGGGAGCAGGAGGACGTGACGTCAGTGTAGAACAAGCATCAGCTCCCATCTGGAGCTTCACAACCAAACTACACTATGACCACACCCGTATCCAGCAGTCTTACCCCAGGTTCACACCTAAGCGTTTTCCGCAGTATTTTCCAGAAACACAGTACAGTCCATTTAACATGATTTCCTATGGGACATGTTCACAGCTCTGCATTTTCACCCAGTGCGTTTTTTGGAAAGAGTCAGGGACTTTTTTGAACGCCGAAATGTTGCGTTTTTGGTTCTATAGACTTCAATGGGAACTCTGCAGAAAAGCATGTATTGCGTTTTTGATGTGTATTGTGTTTCAAATCTGCCTAGCAACAAGAAAAATAAAATCAATAAATTTAAAAAAGCAAAACGCATCAAAAACATGTCAATAACACAAGTGCAAAAATGCAAAACGCAATGCAGAAACGCCTCAAACACAACCTGCATAAGTGTGAACCTAGACTTAAAGCGGAGCTCCACCCAAAAGGGGAAGTTCCATTTTAAGGACTGCTCCCCATTAAGGATTGGTACCTTTGGGGAGCGGGTACCTGAATTTGACAGGTACCCACTCCCACTCCTGGTCCGATCGCCTAGGGCCAGGTGATTGGAAACGGAAGGTGTCCTCCCTCCCTGTAGTCTTTTGGGACACGTGACAGGTCCCAGAAGACTACAGGACCATTCATGAAGCGCAGCTCTACTTGCTCATGCGCAGTGGCTACCTGGCTGTGAAGCTGCAAGCTATCACAGCCGGGTGCCCACACTGAAGATGCCGGCCTCCTGGAATCCAGGACAGCTGGTGAAACGGGCTGCGGGGGACACACCGCGGGACCGAGGGACAGGTAAGTGGCTGTTTTTTAAAAGTCAGCAGCTACAGTTTTTGTAGCTGCTGACGTTTATTTTTTGACAGGGTGAGCGGAACTCCGCTTTAACCATACCTTGTCCAAGCTGCAACCCCTCCCATACAAGCTAGTGGAAATTCCCTCATCTTGGTTGCCCAGACTGACAGATTCCCCATCACAATTTCTTTTTTTGCTTACTTGAGTTCTTTTTTTCATTTTTATTTAATATGCAGTTATATTTTTTATAAATTGTTCCTGTATTTTTTGGTAAAGGTTTGGTGGCACATCTGCAATTCCACTTGTAGGCAGGTGCAGTCTGTATTCTCCACTGTAGGTGGCGCTTGATCTGAGTGGCCCTACAGGCTGGAGAGGAAGTCAAGGGGAAACTCTATGGTTTTCTTGTCAATGCAGCAGCATTCCTGTTGGCTACACTGCAGACATGTGACCCTTGGTGACCAGTTTGGGTCAGTAGGGTCTACGCAAGTCCCTGCCCCTGGGTTTAGGTGGCTAGTGTAGGAAGAGAGACCCGTCTTGTTAGGGAAAGCCATTAGCAGTAGGAAAAGGTTTCTGGCGAGAAGGGACAGGCAAGAGACTCACTACCTGGAAAGAAGCCTCCCTGTTTGGGACCCTCCAGCCACACTCCAACCTCTGTCAGCACCTCTCCTCAGTAACGTCTTTGACTGCAATGAACAGTGGATTGTTTCCCTAAACGGAGTTCTCCCTCTAGGGCGTCAAACTGGTGACCCTCCAGCTGTTGCCAAACTACAAGTCCCAGGACGCATTGCAAGACTGACAGTTACAAGCATGACTCCCAAAGGCTCTGCATGATGGGACTTGTAGTTTTGCAACAGCTGGAGGGCTGCCAGTTTGACACCCCTGGTCTGGGCAATCTGTTCAGTAACATTCTGATCAATACAAGTTTCAAGTTTTACTGATACTGGACTGTATGTGTTCTCTACCGCTGCACCACGCTGCACCTCCTCACACCCATGCTTTGCCAGCATTGTCTTTATCCTCCCAAGCACTCAGCAGCCAGTTAGTTTTGTTTTTTAATATTTATATTTTCATTATTGTCAGGACCCTGCAAGGGAAAAACTTACAACCATAGGCTGCCTCCCTTTCCACATTGTTGGGGAAAGGGCAGGCAGCAGCAAAAATGCAGTGCGAATCCTACAGATATAGGCTGCCCATCCTTCCCCAATATCAGAACCATCCAAAAACATATCAGGAAAGCCTAAATGGAGAGGTTGTGGTTTTACCACATGGAGGTAGTTTCTTGGTGAGCATTACAGATGTGACCTTCTCCTCCTACACTTCCTCCTCCTACACCTTCACTTTCTATACCTTCGATGTGTTTATAGCATGAGGATTCTATAGAGCTCTGGTTCTATCACTCTGCTAGTGGCTCATCATCCCTTCATCATTTTGGCCCATTTGGAAGAGTTGACTAAAATGGTGAGCTGCGAAGAGGCAGTGAATAGTGACACAATTTTCTCATGCTCCTTTTAGAACACACACTGCCTGGCCTAAAAGATGGAATCACTCACAAAAAACTATTTCTTCAACTCATTTTTCTTGCAGTCCCTGGCTTGTGTGGGCGCACATATAGGCCCTGCTCAACTATGGCATTTTTTGCTATCCTGCATTTATTTAATTTAAATTTTTGCAAATTTTTTAATGTGCGTTTTCATGCATGGTGCATCTTTGGTTTTAGCCAATGAGGATGATTTTCCTGTAGTGACATCATATGCAAATGTGCTTCATGGTTCTGCGTGTCTGGAATTGAGAAAGCATGGCTGATTTAAATTGCCATCTGCAGCTGCTACAGCAACTGTTGCAGTGTTTGTTGTGGCCAAGCATATGGCAGGTATCATGGCAAGTGAATTGTGGCTGGGCCCATGGCATGTATCCAAGGGGAGTGCTTGTAATCATGGGATGACTAGCTGCCATGTGTTCACCCACAACAAACTGCAAATACAATAAAAAAGCACATGAAAATGCAGAATACATGCATTTTCATGTTTTTCAGAAGACTTCAATGGGCCAGAAAATACATAAAAATGCATGTAAAGTTGGACGTGCCTCATTTTTATGTATGGCAGGGCACGGATGTGAACAGTCTCATTGGACTCAATGTATTTTTGACACACGCATTTTACTGCATTACAAAATGCGTGAATGAGGCCTAACATATTTCTCCCCATTATCACTTTTTTTATTTTTGTTTCTTTATTTGTTTCATCATATACATTTTTTTTTCTTGAAAGGCTATCTCTTACCAGCAGGGGCGGACTGACAACTCATGGGGCCCCCGGGCAATAGGGGATCATGGGGCCCCTGTGCCCTTGCCCAAACTCAAAAAAATTTCAAAAAAATGGGAAAAGAAAGCGCCAATCAATAATATCAATCCTATAAAGCAGCAAACCTCTAACCCAAATATTGGTGAAAAAATAAAAAATCAACAATCGGAATGTAATAAATTATATCAAAGAAAATAATTTGTGTACAAAAGTCCAAACATCCTAAATATAATATATAAAAAAAATCTCCAGTGAAACAATCCATAAATTGGTGTAGAAAAATGTGTAGAAAAATGTCCAACACCCCAAACGAAATTTCTTCTTAAACATATAAGTGCACCGTGCTTAATCCACCACCAAATGAATGGAATAAACTCACCAGAGCTCAATGCTGATCAAATTATAAATCAGCACAAGCGTGTTTGCTCTGGGAGCAATGAGAGAAGGCAGATCATGAAGCAACACTCTGTAGCATGAACACATCCAGATACCAGGAGCAATACTCTGCAGTCACTCTGAAGTATGGCCAGGACTCTTTATATAGCGATCATCCTCCAAATATATAGTAATACCACTCAAAAATAAAGGAAAGGCATGATGGTGCAGTAAGTAAAAACCATTTAACTTTATTACAATCTCATCTTACTCACAAAGTTAAGTGTCCACCTGACACTGGTATAACAAGCGATCAGATACAAGGAATGGATGAGCCTCATTCACCACGGACACCTCGCCGACAGCTCCAGGGAACGTCCTGACGTCATCCAATAGGCTCCGCCCTGCGCGTTTTGTCACTCCGACATCAATTCAGCCCATATATACCGCTCGCACTCTGCATAGTAGTGCTTCTTAACCAATAGCGGCAATGATGTAGTGACACACCGCTTGCACTCTGCATAGCGGTGCTTCTTAACCAATAACAGCGGCGATATAATGACACACCGCCACTCAATTGGTAAGGCTACACAATACATCAGCATCTATAACGGCATATACCTTTTCATTCATATATTTTACCATAAAAACCATATATTCAAAAGAATGAACTATAATTCACATCAAAACATTTACTAAAAAACATTTACTAAAAAACATTAACTAAAAAAAGGCTTATCCCAAATTGTCAAGCCCTATAAAGGGAAACTCTATACCCCAACATTCACAGACATCTATAGTTCCTTATCAACCAGTGTATTCACTTTTAAAGATCTTATCTCATAGTCACCAACTTTATAAGGGAGGACTCCACCACAATCCATACCCAAAGGAGATATATATCTATACATACACTTCATATTTCTATGTTTTAACCCGTATGTAGGACTTTAATCTCAAGTAACGTCTTTATACCCGGTGATGAACTCCAATTTATTACTTCACTTAAAGGGACCTTCCCCATATTTGCAGATGACTTAAAGGGGAGAACCCCTTCTAATCCTTATTTTTACAAGTTATATGTATGTATATATATATCCCCTTTTTTCTCAACTCTCCCTTGAGGCAGACATACCCCAATATACAACTCCCTCAGTTTTTTTAAATTATTTAAAAATTCGTTAAGAAACAATTTAGATCTATATCTATATTTAAACCGTTAGGTTTCAATACATCTAATTCGTGTATCCAAAATGTCTCCCTTTTGGATATTTCATTCATCATGTCTATTCCTCTCCAATGTTTTTTCACCTTCTCTATTCCATAAAAGGTTACCAGACTTGGATCACTATTATGTTTTAATTTAAAGTGTTTTGACACACTGTGTTTATCATATCCCCTTTTTATATTATTAAGATGCTCTCCAATTCTTGTTTTTAATAACCTCCCTGTTCTCCCTACGTACTGTAAACGACATGGGCACTCTAGGACATAGATCACGTGAGATGAATTACATGAAATTTGTGAATTTATCTTATATTCCTTATTCGTATGTATTGAAGCAAAACTTTTTCTTTTTTTCTTTAGATCTTTTTTTACTGTTTTACATGCCTTACATTTATTACAATTATAAAAGCCTTGTAATTCAGGAAAAAAAATTTTTGTTTCTTTTGGTGGATCTAGAACATTGTGGACCAGTTTTCATCTGCAGTGATTTATTTTTTCCTATATATAAACTTTGTTTTTTTTGGGATAATCTTCTTTAACGTATCATCTTTAAGCAGTATTGACCAGTATTTTTTAAAAATCTTCTCAACGTCCCTATATTGATTATTAAAATCCGTAATAAAGGCGATTTCTTTCTTATTCTCCTTGATTTTTCCACCCATCAGAAGTATATCTCTATCTTTGTTCTCAATTATTCCTCTTTCAGTCTCCAAAAAGGACCTATTATAGCCTTTATCAACAAACCTTTCTATAATGAGGCTAGTTTGATCTAAAAAATCTTCTTGCCGGCTACAATTCCTTTTAATTCTGGTGAATTGACTCCTTGGCGTATTGAACAACCATCTCGGATGGTGTCCACTAGAGGTGGGAATGTAACTATTTTTATCAACATCCTTAAAAAAGGTTTTGGTATATATATCACCTTCATGTTTATACAATGTGAGATCTAAAAAATTCACTTCTTCAAAATCACTAATTGTAGTAAACTTTAACCCATATTTATTACTATTAATATTTTTAACAAACCCCTTTAGGTCCTCTTCTGAACCCCTCCAAATCATCACAATATCATCAATATAACGC